ACATCTAGTGATGATGAACTAACTCTAACTGTTCTAACGAATCAAAATTTAATTAATGTACCAAATAAATAAAAATATTATGCAACAAAATATAATATTCTTAATTATAATGATCCAGAAATTGTTTCAGATCCATTGGATGATAGGAAGATTATGAAATTCTGATTAATAATGAAGAGTCCTCTACAGAGAAAAATGATCGTGCTTTAAGTAAAGACAGTAAAGACAATATTTCATTTGAGCAATTTACTGCTCCTGATTTTGACGATTTTGATTCTGATTTAGAATATAGATATTCTAATACGAATATTAATTTCGATGATTCATGGATAGTGTTATGGATATTCAAGTATCAATTAAGATTCCGCCTTCCAGACACTGCTATTGACATACTTATTAGATATTTTAGGATAGTTTTGTTAGAAACTGATCAGTCACAATTTAAAGGTTTCCTAACAAGTTCCTATATAGCAAGAAAATTGTTAGAAGTCAAAAGACAAGAAAAGACATACACAGTATATCCAAAATGTAATGTTTTATATAAAATCTCAGAAATCTTAACAAAAAATGTGACCGATCAATCGAGCTCTGGATTCAAATGCACCTATGTGGAATTTTCAAATTACCCGAAATATAGCAGAAGACAGCCATGTGAAACTGAGTTAGTCAAACATATGCCAGTAATAAAAGGCTATATTAAAAGGCCTAAGATCGTCTTTCCCTTACCATCTTTAAGATCACAAATAATTGCAATGTATCAGTGTCCAGATTTTGAATCTCTTCTGAGAAAATGGATAAATCAAGATACTGGAATCAGCTTGATGTCAGATATTTATGATGGCAAAATTTGAAAAAATTTCTCTTCACGACTTGATACAAGCGATTCTCAATTTTTCACACTGGAAACAGCTGATTTTCATTTAGGAATTATTATTAATCTCAATTGGTTTCAACTATTTGAATCATCAGCATATAGTAGTGGCATGATTTATAGAACAATATGTAATCTTCCTCAAGAAGTTAAATTTAAACGAGAGAATATGTTATATCTAGGATTACTATCAGGATCAAGTGAAGTCAAACTGCATAGAATTAACCATTATCTCTTCTAGATCATTGATGAACTGTTAGAATTCTGGAATGAGATTAGGCTGTCAGTCACATATGATTATCCTACTGGAAGAAATGTTTAATTAATAGTAATATGCTGTTCTAATAATATACTAGCAGCAAGAAAGATTTGTGGTCACATATCAGCATTGTCCGCATACCATAGATGCTATAAAAAAGCAAATCTGGTGGTAATTTTGGTGGGTTCAATGACATGACCAATTGGTTTCAAGAACGTGATCTTGAAGAATATTGACAGAATGCTGAAGGATGGTGATGGTACAAGTCTAACGATAAAAGGAAATAATATATTTCTATAACACTTGTTAGGTAGTTAAAAATATTAAGGTTATCCTATTTCAACCTTATAAGATATCTTATCGTCGATTTAATGCATTGTCTTTTCCTTAGAATTGCACAATAGATTGTTAAAAGACTATGGATTGATAGCGGTAAGTTCACCAAATCAGACCTTGAACTGATAGAAAAAAAAGCAAAATCTATCAAAGTTCCAGCTGATTTAGGAAGAATTCCTTACAAGATCGTTACTGGTGAAGGGTTTTCTGATTATACCGCAGATCAATAAAAGTCTTTTATTCTTATTTATGTAACCTCATTAATGTGAGACCTTCTATGTACTTCTGACTAAGAGATTCTAGCCAATTTTTTAAGAACTTGCTTTTTACTTACTTGTCGAATTATTGATAATGATGTATTGAGTGAAGCTCACGATCGATTACTTCAAGTAGCTCTTTTAATTGAAGAACATTATGGGTAGGAGATAATAACTTTAAATATTCATTTGTCTTTACATATTGCTGAATGTTGCCGTAATTATGAACCATTATATTATTAGGTAAATAATTATAATGATTGTTATCGATACTTTAATTCATATTCAATTACTAATTTTTGTTCTCTTTAGGTTCTTTTCTAAATAGTCAGTAATGTATTGAACTAGAACTTTTACGTATTATTATACAAAATTCAAGATTGAACGATCTAATTTCCAATCAATCGAATTATTTTAAGCTAACTGAGGCGCTTGAATTAGTGAAATCTCAGCTAACAACTGGGAGTTTAGCATCATATGATGG